GTATGAGAAATTTGTATGATATGGAATATCTGGAATTTGCATCACCCAAAATATGAATGCACCCATTTATGAAACCATACATTCTCTATTTTTTCGTCAAATTGGGGGGTAGTGATTTGTATCGGTGTGTAGTTGTGTGGTGTTCACGTTTTACTGATCTTGAATGATTTTATTTTTCATAGCCAAAGAAATCATGGATTATGTGAATAATTATATTTTGGTGGAATCAGACAACGAGAACATGAAAGACAATATGAACCAACTGGAAGATGAAATGGTAGCATTGTGCCCAATGTTGGAATGACGTTCAAGAATGAGAACAAATTGTTTGATTTCTATAAGGCATATGCCTATGCCATTGGTTTTCCAATCAGGAAACGGAATTCCAAAAAGGATGACGATGGAATGTTGAAATATCTGACTTTGACATGTAGTCGGGAAGGCAACAAAAGTGGTACTACAAGCGGCTCTTTGAAGCCTCAACCGACAATTCAGATGGGATGTAAAGCTAGAATATCTGCATCTTTGGATATTCATGGCTCTTGGAGAATCAACACTATATGTCTACAACACAATCATAGAACAAGTCCGACGAAATCGAGGTTGTATCGTTGCAATCGGGAACTGAGTGCGCATGTCAAAAGGAAGCTTGAAGTGAATTGGTCTAACTGGTATTCCATTGCATAAATCCAACAACTCGACAGTGGTGGAGGCATCTGGTTATGAGAATATGACTTGCATAGAAAAAGATTGTCGTAACTATATTGAACAAGTTAGGCGACTACGACTTGGAGTAGGTGACGCTGCAGCAATCCAAAACTACTTTTCAACAATGTAGTCTAGGTGCTCAAGTTTTTACTTTAGCATGGATTTGGATGACGACTCGCATCTCAGGAATGTATTTTGGGCAGACAATTGGTCTAGGTTGACATTTAAAGAGTTTGGGGACATTGTTACATTTGATACCACCTAGCTGACCAATAAGTATGACATGCCATTTGCCCCTTTTGTGGGCATAAATCATCACGGACAATCGATACTACTGGGTTATGGTTTGGTGTCGAACGAGGATACAGAAACTTTCGTGTGGCTTTTCAGAGAGTGGCTTAAGTGCATGCATGGTCAAGCTCCAAAAGGAATTATTACTGATCAGGATAGGGCAATGCAGAATGCAATTCAGATCGTATTTCCAAAGCACAGATGGTGCTTATGGCATATATTGAAGAAATTGCCAGAGAAGTTCGGCTACCACGTAGACAAGGGTTTGATATTTGCGACTATTTATACATTGGTTTATGATTCCCAAACCGTCGATGAATTTGAAGGAGGTTGGATATCAATGATCGAGTCACATGGGTTGCATGATAATACTTGGTTGTCAGGCCTTTGCGATAACAGAGGTCGTTGGATCCCTTGCTTCTTGAAAACCACATTCTGGACAGGGATGTCAATGACACAAATGAGTGAGAGCATGAATGCATTTTTTGATGGTTACGTTCATTCAAAGACTTCTTTGAAACAGTTTGTCGAACAGTATGAAGGGGCACTACGGAACAAGGTTGAAAAAGAGTTCCAGGCTAATTTTAAATCGTTCTCACAAATGGTGTCGTGTGCGACAACCTATGATATAGAGAAGCAATTTCAGTTAGTATACACCATTTCAAATTTAGAGAAGTTCAAGCTAAGTTCACGGGGAAGCTTGTTGCGATATCACATCTTCCTCAGAAGGACATCTTAGGATGACATACTGTATACATGAAGATGTTGTACACGAATAGCGTCGAAAGAAGAAATCGTTCAAAGTTACATTTCGACTTGAGGACTGCAAAATTAGTTGCAGTTGCCACTTGTTTGAGTTTAGTGGAATAATATGCAGGCATGCCCTCACTATATTGATTCGTAATGATGTAACATCACTTCTCGAGCGGTACATTTTGTGGTGGAGAAGAGATGTTAGTGGAACGCATTCGAGGGTCGCAATTGATAAGTGTAGTTTCTACACTTATTTGAGACCCTAAATGATACTATTTTGTTATTTTTTGAATGGATTAGTACCTGATTTATTATTTATTGCTTTTATTAGGAAAAGTTCATGTTTCAAAGAAAAATTTGAAAAAAGAACAGAAAATGGTAAATGAAGCAAATCCAAAGTATGTGGACCAAAGTGTAAATATTTAATGGTTGATTTGGACTACAAAAGATACTTTGAAGATTGATAGGAGTCAATTGAATGCAAATTGGAGTAAAAAAGGAAAGGGATGTGATTATAATATTACCATAAATCGACTTCCAATCATAGAGGATATCTTCAAGATTTTTGGTCAACTTGAGACCCATTTTTCGGATGGAGAACGTTTGAATTGGAAACATTGTATTTCTAGAAGAATTGTAGATATTTTAATTATCTTTCCAATACATTTTGAATCACCTAAATCGAACACCGATAAAGAAAGTTATGATCAAAATACTAAAAGTTGTGCAGAGACAAAATTATGTGCGCGCGAAGGCAACTTTCCTTATTTGATTCAAACTCTTTTAGAAGACAATTTGGACGTGAATTTTGACCTAATTTCATCAAATAAATACAAGATATGGGCAGCAATGAAAGAGTCTCTCTCTTGCCTCTTCATACACAATAGTTTCATTAAATCCATCAAGAACAAGGAGCCAATTGCTATATTTTGAGAGAGAAGATCAAGTCATAGCGAGGAATTGAAGTTCGATTACATCAAGTTTTGAAGAATTCAACTTTGGACGTGAAGATCAATATCTTTTGTATTCTTTCATGATTCGAGTGATATTTTTCTATTATTCTTCTTATAATTTATATATTAATATGTTAGACTAGTTTTTCATTGTATTGGATGAATGATGAACCCTATCGTTTGTTTATTTTAAATCAAGACAATTAATTTAGTATTTCATGATTTTTTCTTGATTGATTTTGCATTCCCATTGAACTATTTAATTGCTTGATCACCAATTAGATAATATGTTGCTTGTTGTAGTGTAGGAATACTCACAATAAGTCTAGAACGTGGTAAAATCAACACATGGACAATATGTGTTAGGAATAATATTTATGGCATGTGCAATCATGTGTGATAAATCCTGTGAATCAATACATGTTTTTCATATGAATTCGGACTAGGAATAGGATCGGATCGTGTTAAACATAGGTTTAATATATCTTGGGAAAGAATATTGAATAAAAGTGGATTATCGATTATCTTGAATATATGAATTTACTAGATTATAAATTAAGAGTTGAATTAAATGGCAATAGGGTGATTCACGATTCCAATACAAATATTCACATATTAAATAAATATTTTACTTGCTTTTTAGTTTAAGATTAGCATAGAAAACATACAAATCATAACTTTTTTAATTTTATATTACTTCGAATTTAGTAAAGTTACTTAACTAAATATTAGACCTTATTCTTCGTGGGAACGATACTCTTAACTCACAAATTTTATTACTTGTACAACGATCCCGTACGCTTGCAGGTTTCACATGAACAGCAATCAATTATGATAGGCTGATGAGCTCTGCTGGAAAGTTAAGATATGACAGTATGTGCCAGGTTTTTGCCACGCTGGCAGATCTTACTGCAGACGATGAAGCTCAGACCCATGCCATAATAGAATGGATTGGACTACAGACTAAGGAACTAGCGATGACAAAGTCAATCTATGGAAGTAATTCTATTTCGCATCGAAACAATGAGGCAGCCACTATACATATTGATTCCGAAAATAATAATAACCATAACATATTGGATCTCACAACATCCCGAAGAAAGGGCGCACCCAAAAAACTTCGACGAAAGAGACCTTTAGAGTCATCTTCAAAGAAGGTACACGTGTCTAGAAAGTTTTGCAATTTTTTGAAAATTATTGTATTCACAAAGTCTCATTTATTATGACATACATGCAGTCAAGTTCGACTTCAGTCAAACGAAAGAGGCCGACGTCAAAGCATAGTAGTACAAGTATGGGAGAACTCGAACCGGAGCCAATTTCTGCAGAAAACTAATATTCCCTGTCTCCCCAAGTCACATTATCACAATTTTCAGTTTCGAGGCCCTTCTTATTACCAAAACGTGGCATGTTGACATCATTATCATATGTGCAAGGCTTACAATCTTCCAAGCTAATGAATTCGTCGTCAACAAATGAATTGTACAATTCGCAAGGTAGGTTTACATTGATTGTATATTTATAATTCATTTATGTTATTTTAAGCATGCACTTATGGAAGTTAAATTTGTATTATAGGCCATGCTTTTCTGTACTACTATCCACATTTGTCGGACCAAGGTGGCCCCGATTTTTGATGTTCGTCGAACAGCCCATGTAGTTGACGCAGTAAGTTACTTTTGTTTATTTCAAACCTCACAAAAAGGATTACATAGGTGGTTGCTTATGTATGTATTTCACTCATTTGCAGCTTGGCAGCGGAGCCCACTTCACCCATTCGAATGTTAACGGCAATTCAGTTGTATGATGGATATTACGTAGCTTATCTACATTAAGTGGTAGTAGTGCCCCTGCTATTTTGAAGCTACCATTGTAATCATTTTGATATAGCTTTTCTACACTTACATAATAATGGCCAGAAAACAACATATTTTTGACCACATGTATTTTGACATTATGTAATGGGGAATCCATTTTTATGTAATTCCTATTTGTTTAATGTATATCATTTTGTAGTGTTGTATACATTTTGTTCACACAGTGTTGAAATGAGTTTATTATGGTGTACATGCAGTCAAGTGTTGCATTTCACTATCACCATAATATTTTTTTTTCAATTTCAAATGCATCCATTATCAAATCCTATAAAGAAAATAAAGGGAAAAGCTACTGAAATACAATTGGACTGATTCACCCATTTCTCAATTTACTGGAATACAATTGGACAGATATCAACATTTGGAATCCACAATCTCTAGTATGTAATTATCAATAGCTCTAAAGATGGTCAAGAGAGATAGGAAGAAGTCGATAATATGTAGACATTAGCATGAAGAAAACAATCTTTAGTTACATTGGTTTCATCCATAGAAGTTACATAGGTTACATTGGTTTCATCCATAACCTGCTACCAACTACATAGTTTGCTGAATTGAACCTAAAAAACAATCCTTACATAAGTTAGTACATAAAACGTTCAACAAATTGACTACAAATCAAGCCGTCCTCTTTCCTTTTCCAATCCCTTCTACACTGCCTTTTCCCCTGCGAATCGTCACGTTCACAGATATCTCAAAGTCCACTTCTTCAGTTAGCCAAACCTAAGATTCGAACCTACGGGACCAATCTTCAGCTGTCACCAAGGTAGGGCTAGCGTTAGTGGATTCGCCGCTTGTCTGTCCTATGAACCAGGCCCAGTAGCCGCATTTATTACTGCAACATTTGAATAATCTTCCTCTATTAGGAGTTGATTTTTCGGCCTCAAAACACTTTTCAAATCCATTCTTACACAATGGACATTTTCATTTAATTTGGCATTCGACGAAGAAATGCCCTTTGCCTCTACAGCTATGGCAAATTCCAGAATTCTTCTCCACCATTGTAGCATATAACTGAACCATATAGAAAGCAATGTTAAAATCCTTCCTACTGTGCCATAGATTAAGCAAGCAAGCAATGCAAAGCTCAAATTTGTGACATTCCCACCAATTAAAAATGCTAGCCATCAAGGAAAAAATCATCAAAAAATACAGAGCTCAAATAAGATTCCAGCAATGAAAAACCCAAAAATGAAGCCACCCTTCCAAAAAGAAAAAAAAATTGCAACAGCAGCAAAATTGCTTACTCTGAAGCGACGAGTATGAATGTCGTGTTCAAGGAAAATGATGGTTGTTGTTTGGACTGCAAGGTGGCCGGAAGTTTGCAGTACCCAACTTCTTCACAAATCCACGAATCTGGACCAACGGCAATGGAGAAGTTTTCAAAAACGCAGTCACTATTTTATGGGTAAACAGAGTGGTATTGATTTTTTCTTCAGCTAGGTGACGCCGACCGGAGGTAATGAGGACGGCCGGCGTGTCGGAGTTGATAGTCATGCTTTCTGAGGTTCAATTTTGGGAAAAATGGGAGAGAGACAGGTGAGAAATGGGGAGAGAGACAGGTGTGGAGAGAGACAGGTGAGAAATGGGGTAATTGTGCTTTTAACTTTTCAATTAATGCAGTTTTTTTTTAAATTAATGCTTAAAAATAAAAGCCACGTCACCTTGTTAAAACTCTTGTCAATGCCTCCTGTACGAGTAGGGCAGTTGTAATTATATTAACAAGGAGTCAATCATCTTGCACTCTTAAGCTGACGTATCTGATAATCATTAATACAAACGGTAAATCAATTATTCATAAAGATTCTCATCAGACCTACTTTAAAGACAATGAGCACTTTGACTATAAGAGATTTAGTTTCGAATGTGAATAGGTTCACTTTAAGAGGAAGCACCTCGACTGTAGGGCAACTCTTGTCTTATCTTTATTCTGACTTGGTTGACTGTCAGATGTTTGCACGTAGCGTCTCCACGTGGCTTTCACTGGGGGCTTTATAAATGAGGAATAACAATTTTAATACTCTTAAAGAGTTGCAAAAACATTTAAGTCAACTAGATCTATTTACTTGCTAAATAAGACTCATCTATTCATAATATTTCTTCTCGTCAATTTCTTACTAAGTATAGGAACATGTTCAAAAGTTTGTTAATCCAATGGAAGGAATTATCTTATCACAGTTTGGCTAAATTTTCTGTTGTTGTCACTATAGGAATAGTTCCTACATCAAGATTAAAATGAGTAAACAAAACCATATTTTCAGATAACGTTTTTTACCCTTTCATTTCTTTGTAGGTAGCTACAAGTCTACAATCTTTCATGATCATTTTCCACTTGTGGATTTTATTAAAAAAAAAAAAAAGTACTTATATGCATATAGGCTAGGGAATGAGAATATTATTTGAATTCTGATAGCTATATATATGTATACCTGATGTTACTATTAAGCTTATAAATTATGTTGTTATTGATTTGAATCTAAAAATTTTGGTTTCTTGGAAAAATATGCGTGGTGTTATGAAAAGAGAGCAACAGATGAGATAGAATTAAAGTCAATAAACTTCTGCATGTATTTTATTAAGAACCAAAACCCTATATTTATAGAAAAGAATTAGGGATAGAATGGTAATAATTACTACGACTGCAGGGGACAAGGGTACAATTGTCATTTAATAAAAAATTTACTATTTACAACACTCCTAATTGAATAACACATTATAAAATATTTGCCTCGTTAGAACCTTGTTTGACAAAAATCCAATGAGATAAAAAAATAAATGAAGGAAAATAGTACAGTTATTTTGGAGCATTATGCCTCATTAAAATTTTGCTAGAAAAACTCATAGGATAAAATCTAAGCGAAAGAAAAAAGTAAAGCTACTCTTGTTAATGCTGATCACTGAAAATATTTGAGTCAACACATTCCAATCTCACAAACTAATTTCTTGAATGTAGATGTTGACAGTGATTTCGTGAATAAATCAGTCACATTGTCACTTGAGAGAAATTGTTGGACATCGATGTCGTCATTCTTTTGACGCTCATGTATATTAAATTTTTTTGGAGAAATATGATTTGTTATGTCACTTTTGATATAACCCCATTTGAGTTGCGCAATACAAGATGCGTTGTCTTCATACAAGATTGTTGGACTATTGTTTGTTGAAATTAACCTGCATGATGCTTGGATATGATAGGTCATGTTCTTCAATTACATACGTTCCCGACCTGCTTTATGGATTGTTATAATTTAAGAATGATTTGAGGATGTTACTGTCAAGGATTATTTCACAGATCTCTATGATATAACCGTTCCCTCACGTATGAACATATATCCTATTTGTGGTTTAACTTTGTCAGAGAGATAACCTGCATCTATATTTCGTACTAAAGCTGATCCTGGCTTTTGAGAATATAATAATCTCAAATCAATAATGTCCTTTAGGTAACAAAAAATATGTTTTAACACCATTTTTTAAATTGGTGTAGAGCTATATCATGCAAGAAGATAAAAAAAAAAAAAAAAAAAA